AGATAGATAGATAGATAGATAGATAGATAGATAGATAGATAGATAGATAGATAGATAGATAAACACACACACACCAGAGATTCAAGTTAAATTTTTATCATTAATGAAAATATGGTCTTTTAGCATCCTTCTGCATGAATGCTTTATTACAAATATACTTCATAAATAAAAATATAAATGAAAATTACAGTAATTTGATATAGTTAAAAAAGAACTTATAGAATAAATGTGGAAACATGGAAGTGAAAAGAGCAAAGTGTTAACTCCCAAAGCTTTAAAAACCACTACTGGTCATTTAATTATTAGGATGAATCCAAAAGCTATATTCCTTTTCAATATTCCAACAAATCTCACACAAAAGGCTCCCCTGATTCTTTCTTTAAGATAATTTGATATCAGGTGAAAATCTACCTCCATTTACATTGAAAGGAACAGCTTGATAATTTTCATTTTGAATAGGGTATTTTAAAAATACATAAGTTTCATGTTTTTCCTGAAAATTGTCTAGATGTTTGTTAACATGAAGCCAAAGAAAAAGAAATAATATTATTTAAAATTTTATGACACTTATTTTCTAATCACATATTTTATTCCAGAATAGGAATCTATAAATTCTAGTTTAAGGTTGTTGTTTTTTAAATAGTATTAAGTATTTTGCAAGAATCTGAAATAATCTTTAAAAATATGCATCTAATACAAATGGAAAAACAGGATATCTTAATGATTTCATCATGAGATTCAAGTTAAAAATGAATCTAAAATTAAAACAAAGATAGTCTTGACACTGGATGAAGCAAACAAAACTTTAGAATAAAATTAGAATTCAATAAAGCAAATAATGTATTGTGGATTTGACAAAGATGTTTACCTTGTACTAATTTTAGGATATTTTGGCACTGTCTTTTTTTCAAATGAATTCTTATACCTGTCTAGATACTGTAAATGCAGTAATTAATCATATAATATACTAGGGTTGACTTATTAACTATATAACAATAACAAACATAAGTAATGTGGCTGTTGAAAATCTATCTTCTTTATTTTTTTAATTAATATTTTCACTGGCTTTACTTACCAGCAGCTTCAAGGACCAATTGTAATCTAGCTTTGGCTTGTTCAGCAGCAGACTGGGGGAAAAAGGAAACAAAACAGATGATAATATATTTGTGCAAAAATTAAATGTTCAAATCTGAGTAGATTGATGTCAACATATAGTTCTCATATGTACTGTATTATGTATTAATAGGCGTATGTGATTCAGTAGTGTTCCACTTTATTCAGATTCTGGGGTCAGATTTTCTGACAATTTTTTTTGTTTCAGAATTTGAATTTCCTAAAATAATCTCCTAAAACGTAAAATATAAAAAGACAGATTTTATCATGTACATGTTTTACATACAAAAAATATAAATATAAATAAAAAAGGCAATTAAAGACATGTAAAATATGCAAATAAATGAAATAATAAATTGTTTGAATTAGTTAAACAAAATGAAGCCATTTTCCTTATATAATCCAATAAGTACATCATCCATTTCAAATCATTCAAGAGCATTCATGTCTAAAATATGAAAGTAACGTAACATATAAACTAAATTAAATCATTTGTGTTTTATATTATTGTTATTATTTTATTTTTTATCATTTGTTTTGCTGTAACTATAGTTTTTGTTTATTAAGTCCATAAAAAAACCAAATCTGTTTTGCATTACACTGTGACTACTCATTTATACTACAATAATAATATGTAATCAATTTTCCAGGTATTAACTGTCAAAGAAAAGTATTTAGAAAAAATAAGCCAAAGGTTACAATGACACTACCATTTAACTTAATAGAAACTGATGAAAACATAAATAAGTAAAGATATGATTATATTTTTGGGAAACATAGTTTAAAACTTTGATCAAGCAAAATATGACAGCAAAGTACCTCATCAAAGTACTTTTTCCTCAAACAAAGAAGTAACTATGAGAAATTTAATTTTAATATCAAAATATTTCTAATATTTCATACTGCACAAGAAATGTTGGAAGTCCATACATTATAGCAACTGAAGAAGCACATCAATACTTTTAAGTACTGTATTTCATCTGCTTAATCTCTCCACTGGTAATCCAGCAAATATATATACATATACATAACACATATATACATACATATATACATACAGACATATATACATACAGACATATAGACATACATACATACATACATACATACATACATACATACATACATACGTGTATACACACACACACACACACACACACACACACACACACACACACACGTATATACACACACACTTACAGCAATCAATCTGGTCTCTTTTGACCCAGTGCATATTTTACACCTTCCTATAAGAATCCCTGAAGGATAGTACTTTCAACTTTTGGTTAGTGACTGTTCATAGTTACAACTGCACTGAAAAAACTTATGACCATTTTTCATACCTAAAGCATCCCCAAGGTCACGTAATCAAAATCTGGACACTTGGTGACTGGCTCATATTTATGATATGTGATCATCTTTTGAGACCTTTTGACAAGCAAAGTCAATGGGGAAGCCAGATTCCCTTAACAACCAAGTTACTAACTTAACAACTGTAGTGATTCATTTAGCAACGGTGGCAAGGAAGGTGAAAAATGGGGGGAACCTCACTTAACTGTCTCGCTTAGCAACAGAATTTTTGATTTCAAGTGTAGTTGTAGTGAAGGACTATCTGTACTTGCCCTGGAAAAGGACTGAGACAGCATGTGTCCAGCCTGTACTACTCGTGCTGGCAGAGGAGGCAGCCCAATTATTTTGGCTGGCAGGATCCAGGAGGAGGGCCTTCTCTGTTGTTGCTCCTGCCCTCTGGAACATCTTGTCCCCATCTTGTGAAGTTGGCTCCAACCCTATCTTTTTGTAAGGACCTACAGATGTGGCTCAGCCATTTGGCTTGGGACCCCAGTGGGGGAACAGTGCAATGGAGATGGCTGATTGAGTAATAACAGATCCTACCTCCCCCCACTCCGCCCCGCCCTCCCCATGTGTTCTTAGTTTTAATGTCTGATTTTAACTTTTTATGTTTTTACATTTTACCTGTACATTTAACTAAGCTGTCCAGAGTTAAGATGGGCGGCCAATAAATGTTGTAAACAAACAAACAAACATTCAACAAATTCTATATAAGAGGCTTTTACCTAGCTATTGTTATACTAAAGACAAAACTTGCCTGAAATATTAATATATCCCACACCTAATTTATTTAATAACAAAGGTGGGGGGATTCATGTGTGTGTGAGAATTCTAGCCCATTACAGACCTTTGTTTAAATTCTCCTCCCAACCTCAGGCTGCAGCACAATCATATTGTTTTTGGTATGGGCAAAGGAGAAAACAGGCACTCCACAATGGCGGGAAGTAATTAGGAGGCAAATAAAAGCCATAAGTGTCAAACTGAATATATGGAAAGTATAGCCACGATCATGTAATTTTCCACTTAGTGACTGCTTTGCTTAGTAGTGGAGTGACTGGTTCCAATTAAGGTCATTAAAAAAGGACTATCTATATAATCTTCAATCCAGTAGAATCCTGTACATGCCCTACAATATTCTGCTTTAGCTTTTCTAGGTCTTTTATTTTCTTAACTCCATATCCCTAACCCTAACATATTTACTATCTTTAATTTTGTGATTCCCAATTCTTTGCTAAATCAAAATATGGTACGATGCTCTTATTTTTACATATAGTGGCCCAATTCTGTGCAGATAAACTATGAAGCCTATATGATTGATTTTATCATTGTAATTATCAATTCTAGCACCCATACAGATATTGTCTATGATGATCTATCCCTAATCTGGTATTTCAGGTCTTCCAATGGTGCACGCATTGCTACAATAAGTGATTCCCATCCATAAGTGATTCCATTGCTGCTGGTGTCCTCTGTTCTTCCTTTTTCCCTATCACCTGGGAAAACTATCTCCAGAAAGCAAAATCTTCATAATATGGCTGAAGTATGCTAATTTGAGCCTGATCATTTGTACCACAGATGATAAATCTGGATTGATTTTCTCAGTTTGATTTGATCTGTTTGTTTTCTCAGCATAAACCATAGCATTCTTCTACAAAACTAAAGTTCAAATGCATCGATTATCTTCTTATTCTGCTTATCCAAAGTCCAATTTCACTTCCATACCCTCTCATAGGGATCACCATGAAGTTGACCTAATAATTTTATATAGATTTCAACATACATTCTTATCAAGTCATGTACATTTTAGTTACCTGGATTACAATCATTCATTCAGCGTCCATTCACAATTATGATAGCACTTACAACTGGTGCTTGAATTTATGGCCATTGCAGGGCCCTCACATGATTGGAATCTGAGCTTTTGGCAATGCAATCTTTTGGCAATCTGGTCACACTTACAGCAGGTTGCCAAGCCCACCATGATCATGTGATCGCCATTTGTAATCTTCCATGTCAGTTTTCTCATAAGGTCAACAGGGAAGCCAACAGGGAAAATTGCAACTGCTTCCTTTTTTCAGCATAGGGCACTCATTCCTATGTCCTTCTTGGATTGGAAAGTCTTTCTTTCTAATCCTGGGAGGACAGGATAATTGACCACTGTGCCATGGAAAGGAAGCTTTCTCAGCTTTGTTTCTCGAGTGCAGCATGCTGCTTCCCCTCCTTGCCCTGGCTAGAAAATCTTTCTAACTTTCTAGCACATGGTGGTGGTCGGGAGTTTGCAAGTTGGGCCAGAGAAAGGAATATGAGCCAGTTCTACAAACACTTAACAACTCACACAACGATTTAGTGATCACACCTGGAAAGGTTGGGATAGCAGTCTTTGAGCGAGGCTGTCACATCAATAGCTCTCTTAACAATTGCAATGACTTACGACTATAATGGGCAGACTTCATTATGGTCATAAGTCGAGGACTATCTATAAAAATCATTAAACAAAATGCATGGCAATTTACATTCATGTATGAAATAGTTTAACAGTTTCATTCTTATAAAACAATGAGCTTTGGTTAAAATAGGTTAACATCTCTGCTAAAAAAAACAGCAACATCAATTAAGAGGGAAAAACACTCAAGAAAGAACCATCTGCAGCCAATACTATTTGTTGACATACACAGTTTATGAAGTTTAGAGTATTAGATTCAAATTGGCCCAATTTGTTCAGTATTCAGATTTTAAAAATCCTTTGAAAGCCATTTTAAGGGCATTTCTTACCTGTTGGAGGAGAAAGTTGTATCAACAGATTCTGTTTAAGTAAAATCTCCATCATTCTAGCAACATTTTTTCAATCTAGAATTTAAGGATTCTTAATCATAGTTTTCATTCTAGATTTGTTTCAAATGAGCATAAACCAAACTCGTTCATTTCATTTATAATGAAGTTTATCATGATATTGTGGAATGTAATGACATTTGCATATCAAAATTATTTACACTGAAGCTAGTAGTATAAATTATGTAATATTCATTCATTTATACTGGTATTATTTGTATGATAGTTATGTGATAGTGGTGTTGATTCAAATGACATGGACTGTCTTGGAAGCACGACAGAGCTATTCAAGAACTGCTGATATATTTATTTGATGATTGCAATATTTTCATTTGAGTTAATTAAAGAATAAAAACATGTATGTCTGCATGTGTAATGTTTGCATTTGAGACAGTTCTTAAGACTTAAAACCTCAATATATACCACATATTTCCAAATGTAAAAAAAGTGTTATTATTTAGTTGTAATGGTTGAAAATGCCTTTCAAAACAAAAATAAAAACAAAAAATCTTCCAGCAATCCAGCTAGTATTTAATCAAACTTCTATTGGAATGTTTATGGAAGAAAATACATACTTAGAAAAAATAATTAAATTCTCTTAGTAAAATCCATTATTGTCCTCCATAAAATGTCTACACACACACACACACACACACACTATGAAATCAGCAACATTTTACACATTCTCATACTTCAGAGAGCGCTAACAGCATTTCACTAGTTGAAAGCACTTTATCTTCATGTCTCTATAAGGCAGGGTTGGTGCATAATATTGTAATTTATATTGCCTAAATGTTATTTTGAGAGCATTGCATCATTTCTCAAACTTCATGAC